AACTACATCTACCTTCCGCAATGACCAACACAGAGAAAATTTGGTTGAACTACTGCGTCGATTCTTCGGTTTATGGATTTCCTCATCTGAGCCCTCTGACTTACCCCGAGAAGAGATATTGGGTGAAACCCTGACCCATTGAAGTTAGTGGGGAGTTTTACCATTAATTTAAGTTGTCTAGCATTTCACCCCTTGAATTCATGCTGCTTCCTCTGTTTGAAATCAAGTCTTTCATTGAATGATGACGAATAATTTGAATGCATACAGTCTTTCTGTGTGTGAGGATGTGTGCGCACATACGCACATACACAATAGGTACTCAGATAACACACCGAAATGAAAGCACGGGAGAGAGACAGAGCTATGAAAAGACAGTACAGAGGAAGGATGTAACTTTCAAAAGGCTACGTTATTTTCTTGTTTTCAGTTTATCTTGTCAAAACACTCTTAAATCACTCTGTATTGTCACTGAAATCTTTACCAACACGGATTATTTTATGTCATTTTTTTCAAGATAATAAGACGTTACGATTTGAATGTTTTTATAACTCGTTAAAATATTATATACTTGTCAATTTTTGAACGTTTATTTTCTCCTAATTTCTCTTGTCCATAATTGGGCTCTAAATCAGAGAGAATACCGAGGAAGAAAGAAAAAAACAATGCCATTTACCGATACGTTTAGCAGGATACGCGGGCTTAATATGCTGCTTCAGATTTCCGGAAATAATTAATAGACAAAGAATTGCAAAACACATCATTAGCCTCTGCACTGAATCACTGGCAAGGAGATTAACATGAAGCCGTTAATTTATACTTTAAAAACTTTAATTAATGGAGTTTAACTGTTCTATTGGTCTTCTTTACGAGTCCAAGATATCTATCAGAGAGAGGAACTGTTCCTATATTAGACTTACGAGTTAGGCACCGCCCGAGTTTGCATAGCACAAATGCACTAGTCACCCGGAAAGGAAAGAGAAGAGCCCGCCTTATGAAACCTTGACAGCTTAGGACAACAGTGTCCTTGTCTAGGGGCACAAATCTGCGCTTCCGGAGCAGCTAATTACACTCTGGAGAGCAATAAATCCAGAGGTTCCTTATAATCTTCTTAGAAAGCACATCGCTCATTGTTGCATTTATATTGCATCTGATCGCTCACAATCACTTGGGAAACTCTCTCTCCTCCCAGCCAAAGATTTACTGACCATATGTCAATCAGTAAAACCGTTTGAATCTAGAAATCATCTTAAATTTCCACTTCCGCGAAAACAAGAAGGTAGCATCTTTAAGAAAGAGTAACATCGATATCCCACTAAAACTTTCGCAATTGAAAATTACACAATTAACTATCACCCGTATTAATAACACTCTCATATACCACATGCAAACTGGAGGATAGACAGAGGGAGACTGAAAATAATTTCAACATAAAAATCCAATTAATATTATTGAAAAAACAATATTTTATATTGCGCTACAGAGACAGAAAAAGGACATTTAAGCATCAGTGAGACTCACCGGGGCAGCAGATTCCGTTTCGTTATTCAAATGCGAGTTATTTACAAGATCCTGTGTTTGTGCTTTCCCAAAATTCCTGTCCTCAGCGGGGAGAGTGGAGAGAACGGGTCTCAGGAATTTGAATTCACTAGTTCCCGAACCAGATGTTAAACAAACTTCATACCGAAGGCTCTGCGGCAGAGTTCCGTTACCCGTTACATCCAACAAATTACTCGAGAAGTTCCCATCGCCATAAACATTGTCAGATGCAGACACGAACCTTCCTCCATAATTCTTTCTCCGAAGTAGCTTCATTATTGAAAATATAATTATTGAAATCAGGAAAAGAAAAGAAACTAAACACAAAGAAATGACTAAATACGGAGTTAACGTGTCATCCTTTTCTTCTGCTTCAACTACTTCAGTGAACTGCAGGTGTGCGTCCGAAAACCCATCCACCAGAGCTATGGTGAGAGTTGCAGAGGAAGAAAGAGCCGATTCGCCGCTGTCTCGAACAACCACAATGAGTTTCTGCTTCTTGGAATCTCGCTCTGTTATGAGCCTCGTGGTTCTGATTTCCCCATTGTGGGAAACCACCGTGAAGAGACCGGGGTCCGTGGCCCTCTGCAGCTGGTAGGAAAGCCAAGAATTCTGGCCCGAGTCTCCGTCCACGGCCACCACCTTCGTCACCAGGTAACCCGGCCCCGCCGAGCGGGGCACCAGCTCACTGGCGGGGGAGCTGCTGTTCTGCAGAGGGTATAACAGGAAGGGCGCGTTGTCGTTTTCGTCCAAGATCACAACCCGGACGGTGGCTTCAGAGCTCAGCGGGGGGGACCCGCCATCCGCAGCGCGCACCCGCACCTGGAACTCTCTGATCTGCTCATAATCCACGGATCGCAGCGCGTACACGTTCCCGTTCTCCGAGTTGATGGAGATATAGGAGAGCAGCGGAAGGCCACCGGCCTCAGCAGGCAAGAGCGAGTATGTCACCTTGGCGTTCTGCTCCGAGTCCGAATCAAAAGCACGGACCTGCCCTAGCAACAGGGCGGGGCCGCTGTTTTCTCGGACGTGCAGAGTGTATGACGTTTGGCTGAACACCGGGGAGTTGTCATTAATGTCGGAGATTTTCACGGTGATGGTCTTTTCAGTGGAGAGACTGGGAGATCCCATGTCCCTGGCGGTGATGGTTATGTTATACTCCGACACTGTCTCTCGGTCAAGCGCGTGTTCAGTCACCAGCGAGTAGGAATTTCTGAAAGTTGTTTTCAATGAAAATGGAAGGTCATCGTCTATGGAGCAGACTGTTCTCCCGTTGTCCCCGGAGTCCCGGTCCCTGACAATGAACAGCGCCACCACTGTCCCCGGGGAGGAGTCCTCGAGAATCGGGCTCCTGAGGGATGTTACTATCGCTTCCGGGGCGTTGTCATTCACATCGAGAACGACAACCAGCACCTTGCAGTGCGCAGAGAGCCCCCCGCCGTCCGTGGCCCGAATGTTCAACTCGTAGTTCTCTGTCGTTTCAAAGTCAATGGCACCTCGGAGTCGAATTTCCCCCGTGGCTGGGTTTATGTGAAATGTTTTGCTATTTTCTTTGGAGTTCTGGCTAAAAGAATAGGCTATTTCCCCGTGAGTCCCCTCGTCTAAATCAGTAGCAGAAACAGTGACAACCGGAT